ACACACACACACACACACACACACACACACACACACACACACACACAAAGAGGAAGGATGGAGAAAGAGGAACTTCTTGTCAACAATGACCCTTGACATTGGATGGCACTTAGAGATGAGAGGTAGTTGAGAAGGGGAGGAATAAAAAGGGAAGAGGTGAGGAAGTGAAAGACAGAATAAAGTGTACAGCTGACAGAAAAGCTGCAGTGTAGAGTGTGTGTGAGGGCATGGACCTACTGTCTGACTGGAGGTATGTGAGACAGTATTGAGAGTGTACCTGCAGCCCAGTGTGGTCTGGAGCAGGGTGGTGATCCCCACACAGAAGAAGATGGTTCCAATGAGCTGACTGGTGGCCCACTGATCGTGGCCGACACACATCGCCTCGGCGAGGAGGAACGGCACGGCAATAGTTCCACTGAAACAGGTCAAGTAGTGCTGCAAAGACAAGAGGCCACAGAGTCAGAGTGTGTGTGTGTGTGTGTGTGTGTATATTGTTCGACGGTCCACACCTGACACCATAATTACTAGCTTAGTTACTTTAGTTTTTAGGATGTTACAGAATACAACAGATCATCATCATTATAAACCCTTTTCTTTCGGATCACTATCTCTCAGGATGAAAACATTAGCCTCCCTTCTGTTTTGGATATTTTTGTTTGCCTATTACTTGTCATGAGCTATGTTGCGGTCAAAGGAGCCAGTGACTTGTTTTTGGATTACGTAGCCATGTATAAACCACTTTACATTTTGGCTCATGACTCTTCGAGGTTAGAGGTTAGAACTGCTTCCATTTCTCAAGATTGGTTTGAGTTGAATCCTTTGGGCCCATTTTGGACTAAACTTCGGCTACAAAACTCTTTTACACTAAATTTGGTACATTGGAAAAAACAGAAAAAAGGAGAAGTCATGCCTGAAACTCTTGAATGAATTGTGCAACTGAAACCAAATTTACCCCTCGAAGCAAATGTTAACCAACTCTCTGGGCTACATTACATTTTAAATATATTTATTCAGCTTTAATCTGACAGGGACAAAACACAGTGAAGATGAAAAAAAGATTTTAAGATTTAAAAAAAAGATATAGATTAAATACAGTGACAGGATTGTAAGCTCACAATCTGATCCAGTGACGTGTTTGGTGATTTAAAAGTTAACATACAGTGAATTTTAAATGATTAACATCTCTTTGGATTTTGGCTCAGCAGCATTCAGTGGCTTTATTTCAGCTATGTCAAGAATGTAGTAAAGAACACCGTCACTGAAATAAAGTAAAATGCATTCAGACTTACGCAGCCTATTAAAACTAACTCCATTCTGCAGCTGCACCACGATCCTGCTCACTCAGAAATAGTGACACATAATCTCCAAAATAACAAGAATTATGTGGAATTGGTGACAGCTGCCATCCACTGGGCAGAGTCACAGCGTTATATATTTGTGAGCTATAAAAATAACTTCCTGTTCTTTTCTGAGCCGGCAGTGACTTGAAGCTGTGGAATATTTTAAAGTGAAGGCCAGAGGGGAAAAAATCCACTGTTCAAAGAAATGACTGACAACACATGAAAGCAGGAACTTATAAACTTAGTATTTCTTCAGGCGTTGTAGAAATTGCCATTAGGAGAGATGAAAGGAGGCCGTTTTTCACCTCGAGGATCTAGTGACAGTTAGAGCTAATATGACTAAGCTATTTGTAGAATAGTTACCAACTCTGGCTTAAACCAAAAGAACAACAAACATGATGACCACTGTGAGCAAAACCCTATTTCTGTGACTAGCGTCTAGTTGCGTGATGAACCTTGCGGACGGTCGGATGAAAAATACTGCACCAGGATGACAAGTACAACCACAGTGAAGAAGATGACGCACCGTGATTATACAGGGCACGAGGGAGTGCTCGCTTTTCAGCTCATATGGTGAAACATTGCCAGTTTAAAACACACCTGTTAGTCAGCTACAGAAAAATATATTCATGACCAATAATACGCACTGCAAGTCAGCCATGAAACAACACGGTTATGCGTGGAGATCTACCTGTAAGCCCAAGAACACACACAGGTACCAGGGTGGGGTGTCTTCAATGGTATAGATCATGTCCATCCTCCTCGCGTCCGTACTGTCTGTGCTGTCCAACGTCTCAGACATTGAGCTCTACACACACACACACACAAAGAAAGAGATTAAAACAGAGCTCAGTGTCTTCATAATTCATTTTTACTTTGTCTTGTACACTTTACTTTGTGTAAAGGGTCAAAATAATGTATTCTAGTAGAATGTATTTATGTGAAAGTATAGGACTATAACTGCCGATCACACTGATCCCGTCAAATGTGGCCGTGAGAACAGCAACGGTCTGAGCGGACGTGACTTTTATGAATGATCAGATAAGAAAGTGTGCGTCTGAGTGAGTGAGTGAGACTGGGTGGAGGAAAACCAAAACGCATGACGTCACTCTCAGCAAAGAAAAAAGAGAGAAAATAATGGAGAGACAGTTTGATAAGTCAGCACTTTGTTTTGCGCTAGCTTGTGTGGAAATGAGTTTGTGGGTCTCTGTTTTAAATACAGAGAATCAGGTAAGAAGTGAAACATCAAAAGCTAACAGAGTTTTACAACCGAGTTATTTTAACTAAACAAACTATAAATCTTAGGAAATAGTGTCAACATGTTAATAAATACCATGATGTGGAGTTGTTATTTATTTATTTTAAAAATCACTCGTTTGACACATTGTAACCCAGATTTAAAAAAGATTAGTCTCACTGTTCACTCTCCTCTCAGCTGTATCAGAGTTTTAAGTTTATTAAGTTACTGATGACGCAAACTGACCATTTCCTACTGCTGCTTCTTCACACTAAAGCACTCAGCTGGAAAAAGAAAATGAAGGTGACATTTATTGCAGAACAGCCACGGGAAACGCAATGTGCTGGAGCTGATCGAAATCATTCATCAAAAATGCATCTTCAGAGGAAGAAAGCAGATCAGTTCTGATTCTTTGCAAGAACTCATGAAATGAGGAGGAACAGCCACAGGGAGCTGATACATGGAGGGTTGTGCTCTGTGGACTAACTGAACTGTAACGACAAGCTGTCCAAGTGTGCGTTTGCTGTGGTATCAAACCACATGGGTTATAAATCCAATACGACTGAAATCTGAAGGATTACATCTTTAAGAATGCCGGGTAAAGGTGAGGAAGGAAAAGGAAAGTGATTGAAACTGTGGTTATAAGTAAGCTTCTGGGACCACGCGAGTATGTGTCGGTCTGCTTAAAATCGAAGCTTATTTGGGAGTGAACTTGCCCTTTGGATCACGTATTAAACACGGGGCTTGTGTTTCACTTCCATTGCTCCACGTTACCTTTTCTGCTCCCCGATACTCTTTAGTGTAGATGGCCATCAGCTCGGTGTTCTCGGTGTCCTGGTCTCCGATGGCACCGCCCACGCCGTTTACCACCACCTTAACACACAGACCGACTCACAGTTAAGATCATTAATGCCACTCTTTTGACCTTTCATGAGGAAACAGAGCAGGTTAATCTTGATTACAGTTTGCAAAATACCACTGGACCAGACAGCTGGCTGATGATAATGCTTACAAAACCAAGTGAAAATACACGTGAGGTTGTGTAACTATGCGTCTGCGTGCCTTGTCGTGTGACAAATCTGAAATGTAAAGAGCACGTAACAAAGCTGATGAACAGACTTGCCAACCTGCACATGGACACGTGTTTCCTACCGCATGCAAACTGATCACTACAAACAAATTCATTCCACCCAGAATGAGTGCGAGTGCACGTGATGCGTGTGCTTTTCCTGTGAATGTGCCGAGAGCATCACGTTAATTCACAAAGGGAGGGGAACTATAAAAAAGGGACACATTAAAATATACAGTATATTCAAAGATGATCTAATACCTTTTGGACGTTTGCATGCCTGAGGCACACAATGCAAAGACATCATCATCTGCCAGTTTTACTGTAAAGCCCTGTGAGAAAACTCTCAGACAGCAGACACACCTTGAAGGTACTCTTAACACTTGGCAGCAGTCGCTTCATCTGCCAAAGAATTGTTAAAACTAACAATCCCTGTACAACCCGTACGCTTTTAGACATTCATCTCCCAATACATACAATAATAATACATTGTATTTAAGCGCTTATAAATAAAATGTATTATCATATGTATTAAGGAGATGAATGTCTAAAAACCTAAGGGATATACAGGGACACAAGAACACAAACTTTGGGCTTGTATCATTTTTTTTTTATCATATATTTTTTGTTCTACTGAACGCCTTATCTGAGTTTCTAAAGGAAAACAGCAACTTCATGGTCACTGTCACAGCTCTGTGGAAAGTCCCGTCTTCATTTTGTTCTGTGGTGGAGGCAGATTCTCTACTTAAACCTGCGTTAACTGATTGTCGGGGCACTTGGGGAATATGGGAAACAAGCTGTAAGTACATTATAAACCTATTGAGCCGATATGTTGAATGTGTTAGCAGACAGTTACCCATTAACACATCCAGCAGACCTGAAGCAGTTAGCATTCATGTAGAGTTGGGCTTCTGAACACCGGACGAATGCAAGTTGGTTGGTTCCTTAGATCTGGTATGATCTCCTGAGAGAAACATCTGGCTAATTAGCTGCTAAATGTACCACTGAGTTCAGATCAGCTAGCTGCTAACTTTGTCAGTTTGCCAAGTTCATGACTATGAGAGTCTTCTTTCACACCACACAGTCATTTGAGCCAATGTTAATATAAAACAAGCTGATCACAGTCGCTTTAGGTTAAAGAAAAGTTCACTTAATGTATGAACATCAGAGAGGTCCCTTTTCACGAGGGAGCAGAAAATAGTACTTAAGTACAGAACTTTGTTTTAAGAACAAAATTCTATTGTTCTCATTTTGCCTTTGTTCAACACGCTGCCAAATCTGATCCAAAGAAAGAAAGAGGAGACAGAAAGGAACTGACATTTTTAAGTTACGTGCATAGCGACCACACCCTGTCTTTGTTTCAGTATGTGACCTTGTTCGTGATGCGTCTGTGGCTTTGTTTTCAGTGTTTCCTAATTTCATAACTGAGATATTAAAAATGTTTGTGTACCGGGATAGGGTAGAAATCCACGGCATGCTTGCTCTCCTCTTCAAGTTTTCCTCCCTCACTGTTACTGTCCATCGCCTTGGAATTGGTGTTCTTCCCCACGCCCATCCTCGTGTCCTCGTCTGTCCCTCCTCTGTCTCTTTCCGGTGTGAACGCTGCAGATGAATCCTTCAGACCGATTACATCATCCAGGACTGCCTCATCTGCTTGAGAAGAAAAAGAGAGAGACAAACAGAGATTAATATCTTGATGTATAACTGTAAGGGTTCCAATAGCCTAACTTCATTGTTAAGGTCTTATAACATCAGAGGGTCAGAGAGGCTGCCAGGCTGCACGTCTTGTTGATTAGAAACTGATCTCAGGTCTCTTGTTGTCGTTGATTTTTTTTGTGACAAAAGTATGTTAAGTGCACCCATTTATCAAGTAAAAAGAGAAAATATGCATGTTAAAGCGGTATTAATGCCTAGATCTGCTTTTTCTGTTTTGGTTTAAAACATTTCAGCTCTGTTTAGTTTCGGTTCCGGTAACTTGACTGCCGCAGGTGACTAAAGTCTGAGTGAAGCTGAAGTTATGGCGTCTTTATGGTCTGTACTGTGTCGTATTCCCTCCTGTGAAACAGACTATTTCAGTAGTGTACAGTGTAAATCAAATTATTCGCATTTGATTGGAGCACTAAAAAGTGGTGGGCTTATAACTTGTTCCACACACACCTCCCTTGTTGATGGATGTCATGATAGTATTGGTCGAAATTGGTTGCTGCTGGTGAGCAAACGCCATATTTTGTTTTACAGGAAGAAAAGAGTGGATTTTGATATAAACATAAAGAGATTGTTTTTTGTAAATCTTTTGCCTATATTGCTAAATAGGTGCACAATACCATCGGGATGTGATCTATAAAAAAGTTAAAGACTATTTTCTTAACCGATCTACAGCTGAAACAGCCAATCAATTATTTAGATAATTGTTTGTCAAATTCAAGCATAAAAGCCAAGAAGAAATTGTTCTAGGTTCTCAACTGTGAGGATTGGTGGATTTTCTTTGTCCAATGTGACAGTAACCTGAACATCTTAGTCAGGAAAAAACTAACAAACTAGGCTTTTAAGAAATTTGAATGGTCATTTCAATGGAAGTATTTTCTGACATTTAATAGACTTAATTTACAGAACAATAATTCAAATGATCTAAATAATTAAAGCAATGGTTAGTTGCTCAACTTGCGAAATAATAAGTTGCCTTCGACAGAACTATTTCTACATTCAGTTAACAATCCATGTTGCCAACTGGTCCGACAGACACAAGAGGAGAAGGCAGATATACAGAGAGGTGAGATGATGCCAGGAGTTGAGAAAAGAGTGAAACATGAGCACACTTTCGATGGAGAGGAGGAACAGAGCAATCAGAGTTGAGAGACGATGGAAAAGGAGCAGGAGGCAGAGAGGGGAGATGTCAGTTTGTCTAGCAGGAGTGGAGCAATATTTTACAATTTCTGGTGTCACGTCGACCTATTTGTGTAAAACAAACCTCGAGTCGTGTTGGTCTGTCCCGCCCCGGATTTCTTTCAGAACCTTTTGTTCATTAGGTCATTAACTTTCCCACACTTAGTGCCTTTGTAACCGTTTCTACTTCCTCATACTTTTGGTTCAGAGCCCTCTGGGTTGAGAGCCGTCTCCCAGCTACCTGCCAAACCACATTCAAAAATTTTAAATAGAAACACCACATCAACCTGCATCTGGTCTTCTCTGAACTGAAATGGCTGAGAAACCTTTCCCTTCATACATGTACAAGTGGAATCCTAATATTTTAAAGCTAAAAGAGTTAAACTGCAAAACAAACGAGAGTTCATTCCTCTGAGGGACTTGCTCATTTTATCAATAAGAATATTTGTGGTTAGTAATCACTATGTGTGTGAGGGGTGACTGCTTTGTGAGACCGAATTGACCTGTTGAGTTGTATTGTGACCTCATGTCTCTCGTGACTTTATGATTAAATGAAGGCTAACTTACTAACCACCTAATCTCGGACGACAACATTTCAGGAGGGTTTGGTGTACAATGTGTGAAAAGAATAAATATTCGGCCACACAGTCGATGAATCGAGCCTTGGACGTCAAACATTAACGTGATGTCTCGGGTTACTAATCTCAGACAAAGCTGTGTGAAACAAACAAAACTATAAGGATGTTTTCATATTTCACAAGTACAGTGCTTCGAGCTTTTCTCTTCCCGCTGAGGCTCAGTTTGTGAACTGTCTTCCACTGTAAATAAAACTACATCCCACAAGGATACTGTACTAGATCATCAGGGTCCACTGACAGGTAGTGTTGCAACACAAAAGCCCGTAATAATGGAAGTCTTCAAATATTGACCTCCAGTGCATGTAAGCCTTTAAACATCTTAAACATCTCCCACTCGACACCAATACAAAGCGGTTTCATTATTTGAAATGGTCCTTTAATTCATTACTTGGAAACCAAGTTACCAAACCAGTTCTATACTTCAAGGGAAAAAGAACAATTGTTTTCTTTTACAGGAGTATAACATACTTGTTTGTTAGACTTTCCTATCTTATTACTCAGCTTCCCCATTTTTTCAGGCGTGTCAAGGAGTGTGACGTCCTCCAATTTTCATATTCTGGTGATTTATGCTAAATATTTGTTTTTTAAAAAGAGTTGCATGTGAAAAAAAAACAGAACAAGTGGGCCCAATATATCGAGATCGCGACTTAACAAGCTGTAAGAAAGTTAACTGCAAAGGTTAGTCTGCCACCGTTGACTTTGTTAGCTACAAACCATGCCTGGTAAATAAAAGTACACATGTCAACTACCAGCCGATGCATACCTAGGGTCATCTTCCCTTTCCACAAGTATTTCCAAATTGTTGTATCCCAAAATATCTTTTCCCACCCAGCCAGTCTCCCTGCTTGCAGTGTAAAATGTTGGGATAGGTGCAATACCTAGTTGACACATCCCATCACTCCTGTCAAGCTGGGCGGCTGGGAGCATCTGTGTGGAAGGGGCAAGAGAGAGGGGAAAGGAGGAGGTAGAAGAAGAAGAGAGGAGAGCGAAGAAGGTATAGAGGAGAGGCAGGGGGTTCAAGGATAAGGAGGAGGGAGGTGAGACATAAGTTAAATTTGACAGACAGCATTTTAATCACAAGCAAAAGTTAGTGTCTAGTGTGACTGATGTGTCGATTGTCGACTTAATTTTGAGATAAATAAATAAATATGACTTAAGGAAGGCAGCTTGAGTGAATTATGTTGCAATCAAGTCTTCCACCTATAGAGGGTGCATTATAGAGAGAGAGAGCAAGAGCGAGAGAGAGCAGCAAAGGTAAACCTTATATAGAAAAAGTTGGTTGGTAGATGAGCATTCTATTAGTATTTTCTAACACCAGTCATGACTGACATGCTACTATATGAAAATGAGCCTTTAATGGTCACATTTTCATTCTTTCTTTTGAGTGATGTTATGGGTTATTGTTGTTCAGACGATTACACAAAGACAGCGAGTATGTGCTGACGGCCGTTGCCGCTTGCTGATAACGGTAAATAATAAAGTATTCAAACGACATGGCCACGGCTAAGCGGGCAGCTCGCAGTTAGCAGCGCCATGAGAGTCAACAGTGCTGACAGAGCTAACAGTGTTTACCTGAGGAGGAGCCGGAGGGGTGGGCGCTACACTACGGGACGCCGCCGCCGATATCAGCTGTAACCGGCCAGCTTTATTCCGGTCTGATGGAGAGCAGTCAGACAACGTCAGTGAGGGAGGCCCTTCTGTTACCGAGCACTGGGATTGGTACCAGAATAAAGATGGACGCTTACTGCCGATATACCCTTCGGTTCCTCCTCAGGTAAACACTGTTAGCTCTGTGAGATAAATGTATGTGCACACATATATATATATATATATATATATATATTTTTTTTTTAATTCACATTCCAATGTCTGAATATTGCCCTTTAAAAAGGGTGTACTTGCATTATTATGCTATTATATCATCATTACGTCAGTGGCATAAAATAATCTTAAAATGACAATATTGTTTCACAATTATTTCTGGGACAACACATCTCCCAACAAAAGAAGTTATGGGAATCTAAATTATCAAACAAATATAGGAATGTGGAAAAATGAGAAAAAAATATAAAAAACAATCTTGAAAATAATTTGCAAACAGGATATCACGATAAATTCTTATGTTACTGTATAGTGGGACAGATATTTTGGAGCAGTTTGATTTCGTTATACCTTCCAAATACATTGCATTTAGGTAATAACACTTAAATGGTAGAGCCAATAACCAAACTGTCCACAGTAAACATCCATCACATTTTACAGACTGACCTACTTCAACTTACCTACCGTAGGTGGAGTAGTGATCCTGTTCATTGAAGCATTAATAACATTTTGCTCGCCTCTGGATGTTCGTCCAAATAGAATTGTCTTACATATCCTGATTAAACCGCTTTCCTGTTAACTTGTCACATTGTTTGAACGCTCATATTTCTCGTCCGATCGGACTTCTTTTGATCATAATCAATGGAAATGACGGAATCAACCAGACTCATCCTGTTGCAATGCCACATGACCAATGAATACAGCACACAACACATGAAAGCAGAGCACATGAGTGGCTCTCAGTCAGTACTGTGAGGCAGTCGTGAGATGTGCGACAGAAAGTATCCCAACAGCCTCTGGGCGACTTCAGGTCCGATGAGGAATGTGCCAACACCAGAGGCCTGTGGCATGACATCCTCCTAAATGCTCTTTCCACTGTCGCCCAAGAGACAGAAACACCCTCCTCCACTCTTCCCTGTGTTCTGTCTGTTGGTGTTGACTAGGAATCTATCACTCTCTCTCTCACTCACACACACACACACACACACACACACACACACACACACACACACAAAAAACAAGAGAGACTGGGAACTGACGCGAGAGAAGAGAGAACTGAAACTGAGCTTATATGATTATCTAACAGACGGAAAATCTGCAGTTGCACAAACATAAAGAAAAAAACAGGCAAAGCGTTTGTGTGATTGTGTTAAAAAGCACTGAATAAAAACCAGAGCGAGGAGGAACAAAGACATCCGCGGCGGTAATTTGACTCATCCCAGAATAAGCAGGCCGGTGGACCGAGTCACCGCCCGGAGCTATAACCATGGTAACCTGGTCCGTGGATCGTGTGCAGGCTTGTGTCGCGTTGTGTGGGACTCCACTGGAGGAGGAGGAACACTTCACACCAGATGTTTGTGTTGGCGGCTTCATCTCTAGGGCCAAATGTGTGCGTGTGTCAACTCCATCCCCTCCAGATGGTGGTCTGAAGTTCAGTCATAAATTCTGGACCAGGCTATAATAAGCCACAGTTGGTTTAGTGTAATGAAGGAGTTTTCATGTCTCGTGTCCTAAAAGGATTTATATCCGGGGTCACGAAAACAAAAGGAATTTGTGGATTTTTCTCAGACTTGTTCAATTTAACAAAAGAAGTGTTGAATTCTCTACCACCATTAGCACTACGGTCGGTCACAACTAATTCACAATATAAAACAGCCTCTTAACACTACTGCTACAATTAAGGATTATTTTCATTACAGATCAATGTGATTATATCACCGATTAGCAAAAGAATGTGTTACATATGCAGTCTAAAAAAAAAAAAAAAGTTGAGTATACTTAAAAAGGTTAAGCAACCAGCTGCACAGCTTTTTTGAGTATACTCAACTAAGGGCTAATGGGTTGTGTCAACTTAGGATAAGAAGTTAACTCAAAGTGCTATTTTAAGTTTGTCAAACTTAACATTACCATTCAGACCTACTTATGTACTTAAGTTAACATAACTTAAAATATGGAGCTTGATCCTCACGTCTACTCATGTACTTAAGTAAAGAACACTTGAAATATCAAGTTGGAGAAACCTGAAATTGTGTGTTCTTATAGATTGAAAACATACATTAACATCACTGCCCATTTTATGTTGAGTATACTCAAAAAAGCTGTGCAGCTGGTTGCTTAACCTTTTTAAGTATACTCAACTTTTTTTTTTACAGCCTTCATTTTTAATTAATTAGACATGTACACCATTAAAGAAAAGAAAAACATCTTAAAACAAAATGTTTAATAACAATAAGTTATTTGCTTGCAAAACAATATTGTCTTTCAATTTCAACACTTGAATAGTAGACAGCAGGGGGTCAACATCCTTATAATCTCTACTTCACGCCATTTTAAACCCAAAGACACCGACTAAAGTTCCCTCCTAATACTCGGTCAAAACAAAAATAAATGCAAATATGTGTCTGCATGGCACTATGTGGCAGTAACAACAATAAACTAAAATTAATATTAAATTATAATACACCTAAAGTGCAGGACCAGCAGTGGATAGTTCAGCTGTAATATACAAAGTAGTAAGGCAAATAATAAACTTGTTAAACATCTAATACTTAAGGGTGTTAAGTATCAAATGCCAACTCATACCATTGGCATTTGGTCAAGTTGGTGACATTTCAGTCCCTCATGAAAATCCAGCCAAGACCATAGGTGTGGTTTAGATATGGCAGGCTACTTCAGCAAACTGTTCTTTAAGGCCTGAACCCGGGTAGAGCACTGGGTACCAAGGTTCATGAACACCTTTTGAATTACTTCAAAAATATGTACCGTAAGTCCTTCGGATATTCCAGGTTAAGAGCCTAGATGAGCCCAAACAAAAGGGCAGATGTGGTTGGGAAGTCGCATACATCCTCCAGGACAATCCGTTCCTCAATAACCAGGGCGATGCTTATTGTTGTTGGACTTCAGCGGACCGTCCCAACGCCATCTTCAACAACTGAGTATTCCAAGTTCAACTCCCTTGACACAAAATTCCTCCGGGTCTGTATTTTAAAGAAAAACAAGCATATAGAGACTTTCATAAATATTCACCCCCTCTTTAAAGTTCTTTTTTTTCTCCTTCCCATTCTGTAACCATACATTTGAAAAGTCAAAATACATTATTGGTTGGTAAATTTTCTGCAGATTTTAAAAACTAAAATATACCACTTTCATACCATATTCACCCCCTACACATTTGTATTATAGTATTTGAATATTTAAATATTCATACTCTGAATGTCGTGTCTTGTCATTAAATAAATAAATAAATAAATAGAGAAGAATACAGGGAAACATTTGCTCTCACTGTACAGGCTTCCTTCGATTCAATAAGTGACAAAAACCTGAAGGAACTGGAGCAAATCTGCTATTAAACAATGGACAAAATCACTCCAAATCTGCCAGATTCTTACCCTAAAGACATGTAGCGGCAAAGAGTGCTAATGGTGTGTAGGGGCTTTTTTAGTTTTATTTTCTTAAAAAGATTAGCTAACCAAAAAGGTATTTTGACTTTGAAAATGCACTGACAGAGAATGACTTTACAATTAAAAATACTGCAAAATATGTACATGGATCATTTTTAAGTCAGACAAATCTTCAACAGGTCTAAATACTTTCTGAATGCACTGTATACGAGGTCTCAAAACCCATGACTAATTTGGGCTTGGAATTATAAATGTTACCAGTAAATTTGAAGGAGAATTGCTGTTACAAAATGCATGTGATGCAGGCACCACACTCACATGTAACCTTGATGCTACAGTAATATTGCCAGTATTGGCGATATCACATGAAATGAAATGTTAACTCTAAAGTTACACTTATTAAACTATTTAGGTGGAATAACAAAGTAACAGTGAAGTAGAAATGAGGGTTTGATGAATGTTTGCATTAGTGTTTTCTTGCTCAATGTGCAACCTTAATGACATTGACACATTAGTCTTACCAGATATTTCTTCAGAAAGCCGTCCGGCTTCTCCATCAATGAACGGTAGACTCCATTGAGCTGTAGACTTTCTGTGGGCAAGCACATCAGTTGTCTGAAAGATACAAAATGAAGATTAAAAATGTATATATTTATAATTATAATTCAAAAAATTCAATGCAAACTATAGAAGACAAAGGCATTTGGCAAAATGCTTCCAGCATTGTAGCATGCATTTCAGGTCGGCTGTATTCACTAACTAAATGAACCCATATTTTACCACTGTATACAGTATATGGGCATCATGTTTTTGGACATAGCTTAAGGGTGAAAACACAATAACGCTCTCTTGCTTTTCATCTCCGAAATCACCAATTTGAAATGTCAATTAAGTCAAAAAATACAATACACCTGTGAACATTAACGTGTATTCATATTTATTTTGGTAGACAAACTGGAATATTAAAGGGTGATCTGATGTTAAATGCTCTGCTCCAATGTTATGGTTTGCATAGTTGTCCGTTTTATAATTGATGTCGTGTCGGACTAAATAATTGTGAAAATGCCCCTCGTCTGTCCCCCAGTTTTTGGTCCCAGTTCAAATCTAATTGAGGACCCCTGCTATACCACATGCACTTCCTACTTATTGATTACCTGTTCATCAAAGTTGTCGAGAAGGATCATGTCCTTTCCAAGTGTTCCGCGGCATGATCTGTACAGCTTAATAAGCTGCGATGAGTGTGCATCCAATGATGACAGGAAGATCCTCTTCAGGTCCACTCGAGTAATTCTGTAGAACTCTGCACAAAACAGTTTGCATGTAAAGAAACAATGATGCAAGTTTATGTTCAATTGTATAATTGTCCAAAGGCATTAGGTACATGCTGCTTTCTATTTCAGAACAACAAACAGTAGCCTGTGGATCATTGCACTCTGCAGGCAATTCTTCATCTGCTTCTGGTAGATCAGTTGGAGTTGTTGGCGATATTACAGATTATCTAAAATCATTAACACTGTAAGATTTGTATTTCTGGCTTACATGACTATTGAAGGACATTACTTGTAAATTCACAGTTTTTGAATAGACAACAAACAGTCACATGCTGCTTCAAATTAGCCCTGAGATGGCCTATGTATTTTTCTGGCACACAGAGGACCTTACAGTTACACAATTCACAACAAAATGTGACCTGCACTTTAGGTTTACCAGACTGTTTATGTACTCTTGAAAGGTGGGATTTTAACGCACCAGTTGTCTTGAAAGTTCAGGTGCAGTCTGTAGACAGGCACGGGAGTGGTTAGAATCACACCTGGTAATGTCTGTAATGCTTTCAGAGGACATGTTGACTGGGGTGGAAAAACTTGCATCCAAATCCTATGAAGGAACGATAAGAACATGTTGACAATGTGCATAGTTGTCAAAACTCCATGCAAATCCAACAGCTTCACATCCCCTTATTTTCAAAGTTGCTCAAAGATGGGCAATAAATATTGCCAAGGAGTAATGGTACATTTTTTACTAAAACAGAAAAGCAGTTTGCCATGATTTATTAAATGTACACTGAGAACTGAGAATTTAAAAGATGATTTCACTAACCTCTAACTATGTTTACCTTAAGTGTGTAAAGCAGCTATTTGCAAGTCATTAAAATGGTTTTATCATAATGACAAACAATACTATGAGTGATGGAAGGAAGGGGGTGACCACGAAAAGCAACAGACCCTTCATCCCCCCTTTTGCTGAGTATTTTAAATGAGTATTTATGCATTATTTGTTTTGTATCATCAGGGAAGGAAAAGCATAGGTCAAGGAGTCTTACGAGTAACACAAATAAATGGGGTGCACAAAAGAACAGCGTGTTGCTTTAAGTCTACTTCATTACCTGGACTGTATCTAGTGCACCTTAATGGTACACGCGCGCGGGTAACTTAAACTAGCAGCCCTCGAGTTTCAACACCACCAACACTAACGAACGGCGAAGCACTTTGCAGCAACATGTTAGCTAGCTAACAAAAACCAACCAATGTAGCATACGGCGCTATAACGTTGTGCACGTGCATACAACGTAGTAGCTTTAGCTAGTACAGACGTTAACTTTAATATGTGCAAATTCACTCGACCATGCAAAACCGCAAGCCGTTTTCGTTAAATTAGACATGACATTATGAACACTTGAAAAATAATAAAATAATTAAAAAAAATAACAGGTTCGCTGACTAGCCCGTTAGCTAACACACTCCAGAACATACACAGCCTTACCTTGTTAATTTGTGCTCGAGGTAGACGGCATGCTGCAGCAACACTTGAGCTGGCGTGGACCGGCGCGGAATTGCTATCTCTAACCGAAGGCAATGGTGTAGCGCATTGATTAGACGTTTTTTTTTTTCTCCCTCTCTTCTTCTGCTGCTGCTTCTTCTTCTGGTTTTACGGCGCTTGGTGGGGTGGGTTTCTCTCTCTCTCTCTCTCTCTCTCTCTCTCTCTCTCTCTCTCTCTCTCTCTCTCTCTCTCTCTCTCTCTACGCCTCCTTGCTCCGCCATCGCTCTCTCTCATCTGCCTGGCACCAGTCCCTGGTCTTCAGTTAGATTTGCACATTACGGTTTATGTGTGTCCTGTAATAAACTGGCACCCATGCGTTTCTGAATCTAACTTGGTGTTGTGTCCCTCCTTGTGTTGCAACTTCCGAGCCGGTCGTAACATAATGGGGGCTCGTCCGAAGCTCAGTTAGCCTTAGGTATTTTTTTTACTCCTAGACCTAGTAGGTTCAGGCTGATGTCACCACGTAAGGTAGACCTTTTATTTTTCTCTTTTTTGAGCTTGCCTGGTTAAGAAAGCCTGCGGGTGTTGGAGAGACCAGCACCACTTTATTGTTTTTTGTGCGGTAACCCTGGGGTGGCCCCTGGCGTGCCCGGGAAAGCCAACGAAGACTAGTTGAGGTTTAGCCAGATAGAACTACAGGTTCTTAGGTAGTGAGGAAACCAGGTAAGTTCAAGAATAGGTCAGTTTGAAATGTTCATTCCTCAGGATAGTATGTGGTGGTATTTGCTGGCCTTTGTAGTAGTAAGAGTGGAGAAATTTTGTTTGTTGTACACGCTACTTTTGTTAAATGCTAGGCTGTAGTTTTGTTCTTCTTTGAACCCTGATTCGTCTGGCTGGCTTAGTAAGCCAGTGCTCATGCTTTTCTATTATCTGTGTGAGCTTCGTGTTCAGGTCGTCACATGCTTCTTGCAGGGACTATATTTTGTGGAACCTACTTTCTTCTCAGTGGAGGTAGAAAAGTAGTGTTTAGAATTTCAGTGTATCGTAGGGGTAAGAGTATTGTTAACACTATTTCTATACTGTGTGGCCTGAAATAGTTAAGTAACTGCTCTTGTATAGACAGCCTAGTGATTGGTGCATTTCAATTACTCTCTGATTTTGTGTAGGTAAGCTGTACCGTTTGGTAGCACTATTTCTGTGTGGTGGTGTTACTTTGTGTTAGTAGTTTGACTTACTTAGGGGGAGGCCATTTTTGGGTGTGCTATCTTGTAGAGATTTTGTTCCTCATAAAGTTGTTTTTGTGATCTCACAATGAATTCTGATTTTCAAGAGATCAGTGAAGGTCCTACAATGGAGCAGCTGGCTCAATGCACCAAAGCCCAGCTTATGTCTATTGCAGAGCAGTACCATCTTGAAATTGCTCAAACTTCCCTTAAGAACGGTCAACTTAGAGCTAAAGTAGTCGCTGCACTCATTGAATGGGGAGTATTGCCCCGTGAATCTAGTCAGCCTGATGAGGAGCAGGGCTTACATGTGTCTGCAGGTGTAGCTGTTGGGAAGACGGAACAAGTAGTCAATCTTTACATTTGCGAGAATTGGAATTGCAATTCAGAATAAAAGAGCTAGAGATGGAGGCTAAGGAAAGAGAAGAGGTAAGGAGGTTTGAGATGGAGAGGTTGAGACAAGTACAAGAAAATGAAGAAAGAAAATGAAGGAGCTGGAGTTGAGGTCAAGAGCTGAAACTGAGCAGGCTAATTCTTATACAGCTAGTCCTCGTTTTGATGTAGCTAAGAACATACCTTTAGTTCCTCATTTTGGTGAGAAGGAGGTAGAAAAGTACTTTCCCCACTTTGAGGGTGCTGCTACCACCTTAGCATGGCCTAAAGAATTTTGGACACTACTGTTGCAGTGTGTACTGACAGGTAGAGCTCAGGAGGCTTATTCATCTTTAACTCTGACCCAAAGCTCAGATTATGACATCGTTAAGGCAGCCATCTTGCGTGCCTAGGAGTTGGTCCCTGAGGCCTACAGACAGAGGTTTAGAGGGTATCGGAAGGCGGAGAAGCAGACATTTGTGGATTTTGCTAGAGAAAAGGAAAACTTTTTCACTAGGTGGTGCACGTCACAAAAGGTTGTGACCAAGGAGGAACTTCAGGAGTTGATCATTCTGGAAGAATTTAGAAATTGTGTCCCTGAAGTGGTGGCCACCTATCTGAGTGAGCAAAGAGTGACTAAAGTGGAGGAGGCTGCTGTGCTTGCAGATGAGTACGTCTTGGCTCATGAAACAGTCTCGCCTGTTTTGCCAACAAAGACGAACAGCTTGGCCTCTCCTAACCCCTTTCGTTTAAGACCTGGAAGCAATGGGTCTCCTTCAGTTCCCATTACAAGGGCTGCAGGTTTTAGCCAGGTGGACTGAGAGGATTTGCTTTTATTGCAAAAAGCCTGGTCATTTCATAGCAAACTGTCATGCTCTCAATAAAAAGTCAGAAGGTACTAAGCCTGTAGGGCTAATAGTTGCAGTACCACAGCAGTTGCCCTGTGTAGATGGTCCTTGTCAGACCAATAAAAAAAACTCACCGAGCATGACCCCACCAATTTCTGATTCTGAGAAGCTCATCCCAATTCGTATCCTTAGGGATACAGGAGCCTCTCAGTCCTTGTTTTTGACAGGAGTTTTGCCTCTCTCTGAGAAGACCTCCACTGGTAGCAGTGCTTTAGTCCGAGGATGTGGGATGATGTGGCTTAAAGCCCCATTGCATGTTGTGCATTTGCAATCTGGCTTGGTTACAGGCCCTGTCGTGGTGGCGATTCGTCCCCAGCTTCCTATAGGGGGAGTAGACCTGATTTTGGGTAATGATTTGGCTGGAGGGAAGGTGTTTCCTGCTCCCATTGTAGTGGATAGACCAACAGGCTCTGTAGTTGACAATTACCAGAGTTCTGATCTGTCATCTCGGTTGCCTAAAGTTTTTCCTGTTCGCATTGTAACTCGTACCCAGTCAAGAAAGTATGAAGATGTGGTGAATTTATCTGAAGTGGCTCCACCTGTTGACAGACTAGAGGTTGATCCTGATCCTTCTGTAACTTCTGAGTTACCTCTAGATAAGCTGTCCACTAACTCTGTTGGAAATGAGTCTACTGAAGTTAAATTGACCTGTCCTGTCATTGTGCCTGCTGGGCCTGACACTCAGTTGAAGGTTGGCAAAGAACAGCTGGTAGCAGCCCAGAAGGCTGACCCTTCTTTGGCCAAGTGTATGGCAGCAGTTTTGCCTAAAGATGATAGTGGTACTACTCATGCCACTTTTTACTGGGAGGATGGTATCCTCGTGCGTAAGTGGGTTTCTTCTGTTGATAGTGAGTGGAATAATACTCACCAGATTGTTGTCCCTTCTGGTTACCGGTCGCAGATACTGAACTTAGCTCATGACAATGTTCTGTCTGGTCATCTTGGAATAATGAAAACTTATTACCGCATATTGAGGCATTTCTTTTGGCCTGGTTTAAAGAGTGATGTTGCTGAGTATTGCCACTCTTGTCACATGTGTCAAATGGCTGGGAAGCCAAATCAGGTTATTCCCCCAGCTCCGCTCATTCCTATACCAGTGATGGGAGAGCCATTTGAGAGACTCATTCTTGATTGTGTTGGCCCATTGCCCAAGTCTAAATCTGGTCACCAGTATCTCTTGACTTTGATGTGTGCTGCAACTCGATACCCTGAGGCAATTCCACTACGTTCTCTCAAAGCCAAGTTGGTAGTGAAGGAGTTGGTGAAATTCTGTACGTTTGGCTTGCCAAAAGGTCATTCAAACAGACCAAGGGAGTAACTTAATGTCGAAAGTGTTTGCTCAGGTGTTACAAGTGTTGGCTGTGAAACATCAAGTCTCTAGTGCCTATCATCCAGAGAGCCAAGGGGTGCTAGAGCGCTTCCACCAAACCCTGAAGACCATGTTACGCACCTATTGTCTTGAGACTGGAAAGGAATGGGATGAGGGTATACCCCTCTTGCTTTTTGCGATCCGAGAAACTGCTCAGGAGTCATTGGGCTTCAGTTCTGCAGAACTGGTGTTTGGCCACACAGTCAGAGGGCCATTGAAACTATTGCGTGAGCAGTTGGTTGGTGATTCCTCCTCTGCCCATAACATCCTAGACTATGTCAGTTCTTTCAAAGAACGCCTTCACCGTGCTGGGGAGGTAGCCAAAGAGGCACTGGCGATCTCGCAATCTAAAATGAAGGCTTACTATGATAAGAATGCTGTCATGCGCAGTTTCCAACCTGGAGATGTTGTACTGGCGTTTCTGCCTGTCTCTGGTTCAGTACTGCAGGCTAAGATTGTAGGTCATTACACGGTTGAAAAGAAACTGAATGAAACAAATTATGTCCTCCTTACCCCAGAAAGGAGACGGGAGACTCGTGTGTGCCATGTGAACACGCTGAAGCCATATGTGACAAGGCCTAGTGAAATCGATGCATTCACATCAGTTGGTGTCACCTGTAGCTTTAACCGCAGTGCTGCCACCTTACTCCCCTCTTGAAGATGAGTTAGTGATACAAGATGCTCCTGTTCTGTGTGCTCGGTTGCAGAATTCTCAAGTGCTTGATGACTTGGAGAAGAATTTGTCTCATCTTTCTGGTTCCCACAATAGTGACATTGTAAGGTTGATTGAGCACCATCGTGGACTATTTTCAGATGTACCTTCCCAGACCACTGTCTTGCAACACGACATCGATGTTGGTGACTGTTCCCCGATTAAGCAGCATGCTTACCGTGTCAACCCCACAAAAAGAGCCCAGATGCAGCAGGAGGTTCAATATTTACAACAGCATGGTTTTGCTGTGCCCAGTTCCAGCTCATGGAGCTCCCCGTGTTTGCTAGTGCCAAAGTCAGATGGAACACCACGCTTTTGTACTGATTTTAGGAAGGTAAACAGTGCGACAAAGATGGATTCCTTCCCTCTTCCTCGTGTGGAAGACTGCATAGACCGGGTCGGAGCTGCACGTTTTGTCACAAAGTTAGACCTACTCAAGGGTTACTGGCAAGTGCCCTTGACTGCCCGTGCCATTTCTTCCTTTGTTACCCCAGATAGCTTTCTACAATATACAGTGATGGCATTTGGCATGTGCAATGCCCCTGCCACCTTTCAACGCCTTATGAGGAGGGTCCTATCTGGAGTTCC